CCCTAAAATAATCTACTTTGAATAGCTTCCTATTGTTGGTCACACCCACCAAAACGATTAAAAGGAACATGTAGTAAACAGGTAGATTAATCAGTGTACTTTTACTGAGCATGAGTTTCCCCCCTATAGAAAAGAGGTCTCTCTTCTAGCTTGCTAGCCTCTATTCAAACTTATCCACCACCGGATCCCATGCCCTCGCCTTTTTAACATTAGCACCTAGAGGTAGTCCCATATATCTTATTGGCAAACTACCAATCCTACAACCCAAAGCCCTCGCTAAACCATCCAAATCTCTCCATCTCTATCCTCACCATCTGTGACTCAGCAAGGTTGATGTTGAGTCTTAAGATTGCTTAAAAACCCATCAAGGCACACTTGAGATTGAGCATAGCTCTCTTATCCAGCTCACAAAAAAGCATGACATCATTGACAAAAAATAAATGTTTGACCTCCTCAACATGATCCTCCACCACACATTTAGACCTCTAGATAGATCACATTCCCTGACTTTTATCAGCATTTTATTTAAAGCTTCTACAACCATGATGAAGAGCAAATGAGTTATAAGATCACCCAGCCTTAGCCCTCTAGTAGCCTGAAAGATGGATGACGACCATCTATTGATAATAACTGCAAAAGACGTAGTGATACATATCTTAATCCAACAATGTCATTTCTCCCTAAAGCCCATCCTCAAAAGCATGTAGTCCACAAAACTCCACCTCACAGGATCATAAACCTTCTCCATATCGAGCTTCTATAACACCTTTTCCCTCTTTTTAGACACCAGTTCATCGACCACATCATTATCAATCAAAGCAACATCAAGAATTTGCCTTCCTCCCATAAATGCAAGTTGACATTTCTCGATCACTTTATCCGTGACTTTTGTCATTCTCCTTGCAAGGACCTTAACTATCAGCTTATAAATACATTTACGAGTCTAAAGTCATTAATGTTGTGTGCCCCTCCGATCTTCGCAACGAGAACTAGAAAGAATGAGTTGACATATTTTGCAAAAGACCCAACTTCACGCAGCTCTTGGAAAAGATCCATGATATCCTCCTTCATCATGTACCAAAACTCCTATAGGAAACTCATATTAAAACCATTCGGGTCAGGTGTCTTATCTTTTCTACATGCCTTTAAACTTTCAAGGATCTCTTCTTCGGATAAACCTTTTCCAACTCGAGGCTACTAGATTCACCCAGGACCCTGAAATTGATGTCATCCAATTTCAATCTCCAACCAAACTCTTCCTTATAAAGCTTGCAAAAGTAATCCTTAGTCTCCTTAGCTGATCATTACCAACACCACTTTGTCACAACTTCTAATGACTCCACATAATA